TTTGGACCCGGATCTGGCAGGTCGTTGCCACGGCAGTCTAGCTCAAGCTGTGCAATGCGCTGCGGGTGGTCTGGAGATTGGACTGGCAAGCCCAAGCATAAGCTTAAGCCTAAGTTTAAGACTAGGTCGAAGCCGAGCCTAAGCCTAAGCCTAAGCCAAGCCTAAGTCTAAGCCAAGCCTAAGTCTAAGCGTAAGCCTAAGCCTAAGCCCAAGCCTAAGCCTAAGCCTACCCCTAAGCCCTAGCCCAGTTTCAAAACAGATGCTCACCCAGGATTTTCCGCAACCCTACAGTAGACGATCTCTCGTCGACCACCCTCACCTTGTTTTGCCCACCCAACTCGGATATGCCGTTTTGTTTTCCGCAACGTTTAGAGACTACGGAAACAGAAACAGAAACCCCCCTGTTCCGGAGGGCCTTCCCGGTTCTTTGGCTTCTTCTTCTTCCGGTCCACCCGGGCCACCAGCTGATATCATAAATTGGGGGCCGCAAAGTAACCCCCGTGGGCCCAGATCGCATTCCGGCGAGCAGATTACCTCGAAAAATCGGCAGGGCAAAGTGAAGAATCCAAGGAGTTGCAGTTTGCGAATAAAAAAATCTTTGCTAGCTTGCCGTAGGAAACAAGCACCGCGGGGTGATCCATCAAGATCCGATGCGATTCCTAAATCCTGCCCGGTCTTGCGGCCAGTCCCAAATGATCTCTGCTAGCCTGCCATAGCCAATCGCGTTCCGCTAAATTCCCTGCCAGCTGGCGGATTCATAGATGCAGAGTTGCGACTCGGGCGAGCATAAAAAAAATAACCATAAAGCATCAATAACCTTAGGCTCAGGCTTAGGTCCCTGTAAAACTCGTGCTTATTTTTCCCAATTTCATCCTCTCACTAAACGCCCTCAAGAAATTTAGCGCATAATCCCTGAAATTCGTACTATTTATGTTTACGCGGACAATTTGGGGGATTGGGAAGAGCGTCAACAAGTATATAGTGGACTCTGGAAACCTGGCCGATGGGAGGGAAAAAGCTTCATGGACTTCTGGAGATCATTCTCATTATTTATCTCTCTCTCTCTCTCTCTCTCTCTCTCTCTCTCTCTCTCTCTCTCTCTCACTCTCTCTCTATCTCTCTCGCTTTCTGGCTCTCTCTCCCTTTCTCTTTCTGTCTCTCTCTCTCCCTCTCTCTCTCTCTCGCTCGCTCTCGCTCTCCGGCAGCGGTACGCCACGCATACGCCACGCGATAAGCCACACACTTTCCAACTTCCGGTTCAAAGATCAGGGTCACACCCCCTCACAATTTCTTCGAAGAGCCTAAGCCATCATGCTTGGTTCCGAGGTTTTGCCCGGAGCACAGCTGATTCCACGCGAGATAAGACCCGCGAAAATTCTTGGAGTCAACGCCTAAGCCGGAAACAGCCTTTGGCCCCCTTGAAAAATTGGAGATACCACCGCAAAGAACGCGCAAGAAATGACGCTGCAAAGGGGTTTTTTGGTGTCGGCCGGGATGGCGCCGGCCACGTGCCGCGCAGGCGGGTGGAATATTAGGAAATCTCTGCACATGCGAGTTTGCCAAACCGGTCACAGGTCAATTGGTGCTGATGCTGGAAATTTTCTCGAAAAGTGGGGATTTGGAATTTGGATTTTGAGGAAAAAAACTTCCGACTTTTCCCAAATATACAAAAATTGCCCCCCCCCGATAATGCGAAAGCACCACTCTCCGTACTTCTCTCTATCTCTCTCTTTCCCGTTCTCTCTCGCTCACTCTCTCTGTATCTCTCACTGTATCGCTCTCTATCTCTACCGCACTCTCTCGTTATCTCTCTCTCTCTCTCTCTCTCTCTCTCTCTCTCTCTCTCTTCTCTTCTCTTCTCTCTATCTCTATCATTATCTCTCGATCTCTTTCTCTCTCACTCGCTCTTCTATCTTTAAGTAGCGACATTTGAAGGTAATAATTCTACACACACGTGGTTGGGCCGGAAGCACCTCAACCTTTCGCCCCCTTCCTCAAAATCCGAGCCGTCATTTGTGCGAGCCCCCGTTCTCTGGCGCCTTATCGGACCCCTGATGGGACGGACCGACCAAGGCCACGATTTTGACCTCGATCTGGGTGCCTCCCCTGGGTGCCATCTGCTGAGCTGCCATTTTGCCGTCGGACAGATGATAAAGCTAGCCGGCGCACTAAAGGCAGGCGCACCGGTCTCCATACAAATAAACCGTTTTTGTTTTTAAATGCGCCTTACTTAGTAAAACATTAAAATTATACCTTTATTCTTATAATATATACCGTATTTTAACGCACCATAGGGTACTTTATCGTACATATTCTCAAGTATCGGTGCTTTATTGCACATTTTAACCGGGTTTTTATGCTTTAATACATTTAGTAAAGGAAATAGTTTAATTGAACCGTCTTCAACTATTAGTTTAGTAGTATTATGCTGGTCTACCTGTGCGTTCTTTTTATTTGATACGTTGCCTACAAATCACGCGTTATTCCCGTCGTTCTCAGGGTTTTTCTTTCTCACAATATTTTTTTCCTGGTTTATTACCTTTCTTACCACTAATAGGAATTCTTATTTTTATATCAAATAGCCTCGAAATTGAAGCTTTTTATTTTGAATAATCATTTTTACGCTCTCAATCCACGAAGTAAACGACTCATCTTCAATTAAACTATTTCCTTTACTAAATGTATTAAAGCATAAAAACCCGGTTAAAATGTGCAATAAAGCACCGATACTTGAGAATATGTACGATAAAGTACCCTATGGTGCGTTAAAATACGGTATATATTATAAGAATAAAGGTATAATTTTAATGTTTTACTAAGTAAGGCGCATTTAAAAACAAAAACGGTTTATTTGTATGGAGACCGGTGCGCCTGCCTTTAGTGCGCCGGCTAGCTTTATCATCTGTCCGACGGCAAAATGGCAGCTCAGCAGATGGCACCCAGGGGAGGCACCCAGATCGAGGTCAAAATCGTGGCCTTGGTCAGTGGATCCCCCCTGATGTGCCAAATGCTTTTCAGCCCCTGGAAATCAAGTCTCCAAGCATTCCCTGATCGGCTTATCGGAGTTGAATCAGCTGGAAGGTCGGGGTGGTGGCCAAAAATAGCCGGATTGCAACCGTCATGATCGAATCTAAGCATAGCCCAAGCCTAGGCTAGTCTAAGCCTCAGCTTAAGCTTAAACCTGGGCTAAGGCCTAGGCTTAATCCCAAGCCTCAGCGTAAGCTTCCTAAGCCTACAGCGAAGCCGAAGCCTAAGCTCAATTCTAAGTCGAAGCCGGAGCCTAAGCCCAAGCCTAAGCCCAAGCCTAAGCCTAAGCCTAAGCCTCTGCCTAAGCCTAAGCCTAAGCCTAAGCCTAAACCTAAGCCTAAGCCTAAGCCCAAGCCTAAGCCTAAGCCTAAGCCTCTGCCTAAGCCTAAGCCTAAACCTAAGCCTAAGCCCAAGCCGAAGCCCAAGCCCAAGCCTAAGCCCAAGCCTAACCCCAAGCCTAAGCCTATGCCTAAGCCTAAGCCTAATCTAAGCCTAGGGCACCCTCCAGGACAAGACGAATTCCTAGGCCCGCGAAAAAAACCCAAAAACTAATTGTCTTCCCTTGAAACAAACATTTTTTTCTGCAAAAATCACCTGCCCCGGGGCGCCCGGGAGTACTCTAGGGAGCTTTTAGCCCCACGTGTGAAGAATTACGAGGTTTACGGTGTGTTTTCCTTGGGTTCCAAGCGTTGCCTTAGGGATACGTACAGTTTATCTGAGTTCAACGAAGCTCAAAAATGGCATTGAAACGGGGGGTGAAACGTCTCGTAAATTGGCGTTTGGTGCACATGCGGGGCGACTAGAAATTGATACCTAGGCTGCGGGGGTATAATGTCGCGTGTTTTAGCACAATGTACAACATTTTTGGGGCTGGAGATCACAAGGTTATGCGGTGGAAAATTCGATTTAGGAATCTCTTGAAAGGGCTTATGAAGTGGGAATCCAGGCACAAAATGCTATAAAAATCATTGGTGATGAAGCCTAAGCCTTTAGCGAAGCCTAAGTCGAAGCCTAAGCCTAAGCCTAAGCCTAAGCCTAAGCCTAAGCATAAGCCTAAACCTTGTCCTCAAACATAACCCTTTTAGCTCGGATTCTGCCTTCACCAACCCTTTAAAAGCATACAAATCGTTGGGGGACCCGTAAAATTACTCGACCTATAATATTAGGCAAATAAAAAGCACAGTATACCAGGAAAAACGCCACTCAAAGTACGATAACATACGCATAAATAGTAGAACCCGATGGGCAAACCGGCTCTCGGGTTTTCACGTGTTTTAAAGGGACCTGGAAGTCAAACTTTTCAAAAATCCAGTTTAGGGGTTTAGTCGACTTCCGCGTGCCTTTAAGATTATCGCAAATATTTCTGCATAAAATCGGTAAAACGGGGAAAACTGGAATTGGATTCGTTAGAGTCGGAAAGACGGGGGAATTCGGCGGGGTAAATATGCCTATTAATGTATGTTTTTGGGGGTCATCCCGGAGATCAGGTGACAATTTGGGGCTAGAAAGCTGATTTCGATATGCAAATGGATTTAATTTGAGGGCTGAGCCCATTTAAAGGGACCGGAGCGGGCAGTTAGAGGGCAATTTCGGCCCTAGGATCGGTATCGAAATCCGAAAAAACGATTTGAAACGTTATTTTCCGAGCTTTATCCGCAAGAAAAACAAATTTCGCTCCGATTTCTGCCTTGCCAGTCCCTGTAAAAAAGTTACATAACAAGGGCAAGGCTGGGGGCGATTTATGTGCAAATAGGCAACGGGGGGAAAACCGGAATTTTTGCTCTACATGGGTTGTCTCGTCGCAGGGATCAGCCGGCTAATTGATGGGGGTGGATCGAAAATAGTTCCGAGTTAGCTGAAGATGATTAGCAGCTGATCAACGCGTCGAAGGTGTTTTTCGGTATTTTTGGGGGAGGTGAGCGAGCGAGAGGGAGAGCGAGAGGGAGCGAGAGAACAACAGCCCTGTCCTCCTAGCAGTCGGTGGCGCATTGTGTCCGTAGCAGCGTGTCGCTGCACTGGTTCTTCACGCAGCACAGCGTCGAGATGGTCTCTTTTTGGCCTGGAAATGCTGGGTTTAAAGGGACTGGGCAGTTAAGGAGGGCTACAGTAACCAGGTGGACCTTTCCGAAATGGTTTCTGCTAGTCTGCCCTTTTCCAAAACATCTCAGCGAGGTTGCTTCTTCCAAAAGAATGTCTGCTAGCCTGCCCTTTCCTCAAGAATCTCTGCTAGCCTGCCCTAAACCCTTAAAAACCCACTGTCTGTATCATCATCAGGCAACGGTTTGGTGCACTCCTTGCACAGCTCGTGAATCTTCCGGAATAACGCCCGGCCGCAGACACGGTACGTCGGCTCGCCGCGCTTCGACCGCAACGCCTTCTTGATGGCGTCGTCCTGGTGATGGTGGTGATGATGGTGATGGTGATGGTGGTGCTTCTTTTTCACCTGGAAAAGCCGATTAAAAACGATATTTTCGTGTCACAGCCCTTTTCAAAATCGCGCGTAAATGCAAAATACGCCTTTTTACGCATTTTTTGAGAAAATGGGCCCAGACTTCCGGCACGCTCCAAACATTACGAAAATCACGCAAAAATGCTGACGTCCCGGCGCCGATATCTGCGAAAAGCCTCGTTAGCCACTGGGAATTTGCAATTAGGGATGGGAGCGGGGGTTACGGTATGTTTGCGCAAGGTCTGCAGAAAACGAGAAAGCTACCCCGGGACCAAACTCGAAAAATTGGAAACCAAATCCAAAATTTAGCACAAAAAAATTGTAAATACTTTTGTTGGTTGGGTCTTTTTAAAGGCTCCGCTAGCCTGTCCTTTCCTAAAGAATCTCTGCTAGCATGCCCTTTCCTAAAGAATCTCTGCTAGCTTGCGCGGCGCATAGAGCAGAATTGGGTCAAATTTCGTGAAAATGCTTCGAAAACTTCGTTGCTAGCAAGCATAGCATAGCATAAAATAATCGCTTGAACGTCGGCTTCAGCTTAGGCGTAGGCTTACGACTTGGGCTTATGCTTGGCTTTTTTTAGGCTTAGCCTCAGGCTTAGGCTTAAAAATCCTCACCTGCGTGATCCTTGTCCTCGGCCTCGATTCCTCCTCGTTCGTATCCAAATCCATCGTGTAAATGCTAGCTTCGGCCCAGGAGATCGCCATTAATGCGAGGACGGCCAGCCAGAGGAGGAATTGGAAGTTCATTTTTAATATAGTAGTTTGAAGGTAATCCCTTTCGAGTTCCTTAGGAAATGGCCCGAGTAGGTCTGGCTTAAATACCTCTCACTGGGGGGGTGGAAACCGACCAACCGGGCCGGCAACGAAAAGGCGAACCGCTGAAAAGGGGGCGTGGCCTGAATTGAAACCTGTGAGAGGCTAATCTTTGCCCCACCCACCGCCCTCCCCCTTGTCCGTCCAGGGGTGTATCCCGGAATCCCGCAGTCTTATAAGGTTTCTGCAAGTGTTGCGGCTTTCTGGGTGGTGATCTTTGAGTTTTGGGAGAAGGAAATCTGGGGGTACTGGAAGTGCGAGAATGCCAAAATTCAGGAGGCGAAAAGAGGGAGAAATCTTCAGAAAAGCAAAGGGTATAAACCGAGAGAGAGAGAGAGAGAGAGAGAGAGAGAGAGGGAGAGATGGACAGAGAGTGAGAGATATCAAGTAGAGAGAAGGGCCGAGAATGAGAGACAAAAAGCACGCGAGATATGCCGTCCCATAAAAACAAACCTAAAAAGAACCAGGCTGCTTGATACCTCAAAGTTCTCTGCTAGCTTGCTTGGATCTTGCTATCTCCTTTTTCCCTGTGTTTATCTGTCTATTCCGCTCTCTCTCGCTCTCTCTTTCTCTCGCTCTCCCTCCCTCTCTCTCTCTCTCCCTATCTCTGTCTCTCGCACTCGCTCTCTCTCATGCGCTTTCGCTCTCTCTCTCTCTCTCTCTCTCTCTCTCTCTCTCTCTCTATCTCTCTCTCATTCACTCGCATTGGCTTTCGGAGGGTAAGTGAGAGCCTAGTTTCCGAAAATTTTCTCTGCGGCCTGCGACGAGCGTTTATTTTAACGTTAGAAAACCGTTTAAGGGCATAGACTCGTAAAATCCAAAAATAATCGGTTACATTAAAAGTAAAATTAATCCAGCCGCAATCGGAATTACCCACTCACCCCCACTTGCAGCGCCACCACCCCCAGGCCCAACAGCAAAACGAGAGGAAATCGACGGATCGGGCGATTTGAAACCAAAGGTCGGATATGTTGCGGTTTCGCAGCAACAACAATGCCACGCGGAAGCTCTAAATCGCGGTATTTGGGCGAAAGCTGGAGTGAGTCAAGTGAGCCCCATTCCAAATTAAAGGTTTTGAATTTTTTGCAAAATCAAAGCAGTTAGCACCACACATTAAAGAAGAGAAAAAAAACATCAAAAATACCTGAAAAAAATCGGAAATTTGGCGGATTTAGTACAAACTATTTTTCTAGATTTTTAACGGTTTACGGAAATATAACTGTAAATTTTTTACATAGCATACGTTTCTGGTTTTGTCCCTTTCCGCTTCTGTATGCTTCAGGTTAAGCACTTCTCCATCACTCTATACCTCTCTTTCGTTCTCTCTCTCTCTCTCTCTCTCTCTCTCTCTCTCTCTATCTATAGCTCTCTTTCTTTCCCTCGACATCACTCCCTCCCTCGCTCTCTCACTCTCGCTCCCTCTCTCACTCTCTCGAGACCGGCAAAAACCATTTTCGCAACTCGAGCTTCAATTGCGAGTACTAAGTAACAATCAACATCACCAAAGTGACGTGTATTTTTAGAACCTATTTATCCGTCACATAAACACATAAATTAGCACTAACAACATAACACAACCGTGTAAAGCTTTTATCAATGAGGCTACCTGATTTTTGGGGTGCGGATATGTCAATTCAGATGGTTTCGGGACAAGGGATGGTTCATAAAAGAAAATACAAAATTGGGAAAGCTAGGAAAAATAATTCGAGAGTGTAGCTGCGTAGGGTAACCCGAAAATGGATTGCGAAATGCGAGAGGAGAAGAGAAGGGAAAATCTAGACACAGGTGGACAGAAGTGAAAGATAAAAAAGAAAAAAGCGAGAGAAAGGCGAGAGAGCGAGAGAGCGTGGGAGTGAGAGAGCGAGAGAGCGCAGGAGTGAGGGAGCAAGATAATAGAGAGCACGACAGACAGGGAGAGTGTGGGAGAAGTATTTGAATACAAAAGAGAGCTAGAGAGAGAGAGAGAGAGAGAGAGAGAGAGAGAGAGAGAGGGAGAGGGAGAGAGAAAGAGAGGGAGCAAGAGAAGAGAGGGCACGACAGACAGGGAGAGTGAGAGAGAGTTATTTGAATAAAAAAGAGAGCTAGAGAGAGCGAGAGAGAGCGAGAGAGAGAGAGTGACGGTTCGAAAGCAATAGAGAGAGAGAGCGAGAGAGAGAGTGACGGTGCGAGAGATAGAGTCATATCCTTAAACCGGCAGATCATTGCTGCTAAATAACGGATCATTATTCCCAGTATAACACCAGCTCTCCAGATACGGCTTGGTGCACTTCCCGGCCTCGCAGCAGATCTCAGTTAGCGTTTCTGAAAGACAACATTGCTTCTAATTCCGATCGAATACTATTTACTTTCGCCAGGCTTATGGGTAAGTTGTCCATTCTCGCAGAGCGCATTCAGCTCGTCGACCAGTTTCCGGCCGCAAAGCCGAAAATGAACGGGATTCGTGCTTTCGCGTCGCATCCGGGCCTGGAATTGAGGGATTAGCTAAATCTGAAATGATCTCTGCTAGCCTCCTTGAGCTTAAAAAACGGTCTGGGCTTCCTAAATGATCTCTGCTGGCTGGCCCGCGCTTAACACAAACTTTACGAATACTCTTAATCCGCAGTGTCCTGTGCTAGCCTGCCAAGCGATAAATAAAAAAATTATTACTGTTAGCTAGCCGGAAATTCTGATGACGAAATAGCCCGAGTGAGAGAGAGAGAGAGAGAGAGAGAGAGAGAGAGACGGGAAGAGAGAGAAACAACGGCCGAATCAGCGAAAGAAAAGAGAGAGAGAGAGAGAGAGAGAGAGAGAGAGAGAGAGAGAAAGAGAGAGAGAGAAAAACGATAAAGAGATATATATATATATATATATATATATATATATATATATATATATATATATATATATATATATATGGAGAGGACTTTAAAAGTAGAGGGTCAAATACTCCCACGGAAGTGACCATGCTGAAAAGATTGAACTCACTGCGCTCTCAACAACCACCACCGCCATAAGCAGAGAAATCAGAGAAATCGGTTTCCAGGTTCGCATTTTTTTGGTCAGGGTTGGGGGGGGGATATTTCGAAGTTCACCCGCGCTATCTGTCGGACTCTCCCCCAGGCGCCTGTATATAAAGCGCAAAAAGGGGCGGGGCAGCGCAATGGGATTCGCCGCGTTTGACTCATCCGCGGCAGATCAAAATACTAGAGTCTCCAATCTGTGCATTTCTGTCACTTCCGGCGACGGGCTTAATCTGTGGTTGGCATCCCACTGGAGAAGTAGGCTCGGCGCCGAAGCCTAAGCCTAAGCCTAAGCCTAAGCATGAGCATAATCCTAAGTCCATGCCTAAACCAAGCCTAAGCTTAAGCCTAAGCCTAGGCCTAAGCCTAAGCATAAGCGTAAGCCTAAGCCTAAGCCGAAACCGCAGCCAAGCCGATACCTATGCCAAGCCCAATCTTAAAGTTTAGGCCTAATGTTTTAGCTGTCGTTTTGTCCGGCCGCT